CAAAGGCCAAGGCAGCAGCCGCTCGCCAACCGCTCGAGCCCATCACAGCCGAGACCGTACACCGCTTTCACGGCCGCATGCCACCCAGTAAAGCACATGGAGTTGACGCCCTGGGACCTCGCGACCTCCATCGACTACCAGAACCAGCAGTCGAAGCCTATGCGGATATCCTCAACGCAGTAGAGCAAGCAGGCATCTGGCCACTACAAATTTCAGGCACTATTGCAGCTCTCGCCGCCAAGAAGTCTGGAGGCGACAGGGTCCTCGGCATGCTACCTCATATGGCCAGACCCTGGTCTCGCATCAGATCGACTGCATCTGCATCCTGGACCCAAGGTCTGGACGACTTTTGGACTACAGCCATCAAAGGCTCCTCAGCTCTCCAGGCCGCCCTACATAGGGCCTTGTTAGACGAGACAGCCTCAGCACTTGGAATACAGTCAGCCACGTTGCTATTAGACATCCAGAAGTTCTACGACAATATCAAGCTCGCCAACCTCATTATGGTCGGCCTCAACTGCGGCTTTCCCCCCACCATTCTACTACTGGAAGTACAGCTATACCTGGCGCCCAGATTCTTGCGCAGTCGACAATGGGTCAGTATGCCTATCTTCGCCTCCAAAGGCATCGTTGCAGGCTCCCCTCACGGCACCACCTTGGCACGACTCATCTTGCTTCCTATTCTACGGCAAGCCCAAGCTCAGGCAGAGCTGGCTCAGATGTGGACCTTCGTTGATGACACTGTTCTTCGAGTCGAAGGGGTCCTACGCACTCTACAGAAGCACCTCCCCCGTGCCGCCAAGACGCTCTGCGACGGTTTAAAGGAGTTCGAGCTGCCTATCTCAGACAAGACTGTCCTCATCGGCTCCACCCCCAAGGTCCGCAAATCGCTAGCCAAGAAGTTGCGGCAGTACGACATCCCAGTTACTGCGACCGCCACGGCCGTCGACCTCGGAGTTGACGCGGCTGCGGCTACTAGACGAGTACAAGCCAAAGCCAGGAAGCGACAGAGCTCAGCCGCAGCTAGGTTTCGCAAGATACACCGACTACGGAGCACTGCACAGCAGGCTCGAATCTCAGCAGGACTGTGGCGTACTGGCGCTCTCCCCGAAGGAGTATTCGGTCATCAGGTGCACGGCCTCGCTCGGCACGCTCTACTACGATGGCGGCGCCAGGCCGCCATTGCGGCCACGGGAGCAGCAGCGGGCCGATGCCTCACCTCCCTCCTCGGCGCCACCTTTGACGGCATGGACCCAGGAGTTCCCCTAAGGATCGAATTCATCGAGGCTTGGCTTCAGCACTGGATACGCCACCCGAGCACGCACGCCAGGATCATCAGAGCATGGCCAAGGATCAAGACCACCTTGCTCGCCGCAGGCCCCAAGCTGTGGCGCAGGGTCAAGGGGCCCACAGGCGCGGCCATCGCGACCCTGCTGGAGGCCAGTTGGGAGCCGACCTCAGCTACCACGTGGAGGCGTACGAAGGACGGCTACATCGAGGAGTGGAACCTCCCCCCTGCCGATGACCCTGACCTCCTCGACGCCGACATCCACACAGTATTGCAGGACCTCAGCGAGGATTTGCACAGGCTCCTCTGGACTCAGGCCGCTACGCATGACCATGGTGACACGCTGGCTGGAGGTGCGGACATGGTCACTATCCGCATTGAACAAAGGAGGCTCCTCGCAAACGGTGACTTCAGCGACTGGGCCCTCAACAACACCATCATCAGCGGAGGACAATGGACCAGAGACCGCCTCCACAACGCGGGCTACCATATCGACAAGAACTGCGACCGATGCAGCGCGGGAGTTCCTGAAACCTTGTTTCACCGAATGTGGCAGTGCGAGGCGAATGTGGGACCTGAGTTTGAGGCCAGTGACAAGTTACTACCGCGAGCCGTGGCGGGGGTCGATGCCGACCCCGCCCTGTGGCTCCGCGGCATTCCCTCTGTCGCTCTCACTACGCCCGCGTTCGAGCCATTGACTGGGAGGGACGGGTGGGAGTTTGTTGGTGCGGTGCGGGAGGGTCTGCCGCCGTGGGAAGGAGCTCGTAACGCTGAGGGCGAGTTGTTTCTTTTTGGTGACGGGTCTGGCGGAGCCTTTTCCGACGACGTCAGGCGACGGCGTGTTGGTTCTGGCCTCGCGGCCCTCCGATGGGACCCTCCCTCGGCCTCCTGGGCCCTCCACGCGGGCCTCCTCGCCCCCCTCCCAGGCCCCCGCCAGACCGTCCCAAGAGGCGAGTTGCATGCGTTTTGCCTGGCACTGGAGACGTGCCAGCAGGATTTCACGTTTGTTACAGATCACCTAGCCCTGCAGCGCGGCTGGCAGAATGACAGATGTCTCAGACCTGGCAGCCTTAGAGGCAAGAATAAGAATGGGGATCTCTGGCTGAGAATTCGGCACCTCGTGCAGGATCGATCTGGCGGCGGCTCTTCGGTCACGGTGCTCTGGACCCCATCTCACGCCGATCCCCTGACTTTGCATGGTTTCCAACAATTTCTCGCTCTCGGCAACCAGCATGCCGACGAGCTCGCGGGAAGCGCGGCCCACAAGTCGGCCACCCTTGCCCTCCCGCCTGTCCCCAGGACCGACGAATACGACGCTATTGCTGCCATCGTCCGTCAGAGGGCACGACTGATTTTACGTTCCTTAGGCAAGAGTTCAGAGCCTCGAGGACTGTGGCCAGAGAGGCAACCCACCCAGGAGGCAGCCCCTCGCTCTCTGTTGCAGACCGCGATCGCGGCTTCTCAGCACAAATTCGAGCGGTGTGCAGACAAATGGAGATGCCCTGCCTGCCTCATCATCGTTGACGCTTGCCACGTTATTCCAGCTGCCGCCACAGAGTGTGTGCCGCCTTGCCCCCTTCCCGAGTTTGCTGCGTGTGGCGAGGTGCTGTGGTCGAGGGGTCCCCGCGTGATCAGTGGCAAGGCGATTCACCCCTCCCACACGTTGGCCACCATCCCCAAGTGGCAAATGTTCTTCTGTGTGAAGTGCGGCCATACGGCCACGCACCAGGTTAAAAGCCTACTTTTGCCGTGCCCTCTCTCCCACCAAGTGGGAGAGCGCAGGGCCCTGGGACCCACTGGCAAAGGCCTCGAGAACCTCAGCAGGATCAGGCGAGGCCTCCACCCGTCCAGATCGGGTCCCAGCAAGTCAGTGCTAGAAGCTTTGCACGTTTCGGCAGCCGAAGCCGCGATCGGTTCCTACGCGGCGGGTGCTGCCTCCGAGTAAATTGTGAGGCCAGGGGGGCCTGTCGCGGTGGGCCGTGGGATGTCGCCCCCCACGGCCCTCCGAGAAATACTGGATGGCCCCCCTGGCATCTCTGGGTTCCGAACGGACTACGTCCGATTGCTCCACTCCACTCCTCCGCCGTTCCCCCCCCCCCCCTCCCCCGCCCCTCTGCGACCTGCTCCCCCCCGCCCTCTGGCGACCTGGCCGCCGCCCGCGCCCCGCCCCGCGAGCCATGGCCGCTGTGCGCCCTGCCCCCCCCCCGCTGCCGCCGCCCTCCTCCTCCGAGGAGGAGGAGGAGGAGGGCCCCCCTCCACTTCCCGCGGCCCGGGGCGCCGCGCCTCTGCAGCCAGGCCAGGGCGTTGCCGTGAGTGCCGCTCTCTGGGTTCCGGAGGGGCTCGGGCGTTTGAGCTGCTCCGGAGAGGTGCCTACCTCCTCCTCCTCCTCCTCCTCCTCCTCCTCCTCCTCCTCCTCCTCCTCCTCCTCCTCCTCCTCCTCCTCCTCCTCCTCCCCCTCCTCCTCCTCCTCCCCTCCTCCTCCTCCTCCTCCTCCTCCTCCTCCTCCTCCTCCTCTCTCCTCCTCCTCCTCCTCCTCCTCCTCCTCCTCCTCCTCCTCCTCCTCCTCCTCCTCCTCCTCCCCCTCCTCCTCCTCCTCCTCCTCCTCCTCCTCCCCCTCCTCCTCCTCCTCGTTCCCCCCGCTCGGGGAACCTATTCTCGGGGTGGACAGGCCTCCCACCCTGCCACGTCGATTCGTGATTTGTCCGTCTTCGGTTCTCGAGAGGGCGCTGCGGCCGTCCTTTTCCAGGCTTGCGCCCGCCAGGTTTGGGCCCGAGGTCGTTTTCAGTAAACCACGCTTTGCTAAAGGGGGTTCTGTCCATCCCCGATATTCGTGGCCGAGGCTCGCCATGGCCAGAAATGCCTCTTCGCCCCTGATTCAGCGTTCCTTATGGTAGCACGATCGCGGTATCCGCGACCACGGGGACCTATGGCTGAGTTTGTTGTCGCGCATGTCGTGTGCAGGCGTTGAGCAGGCTGCGGGCAACGCCTGAACGCTGTCGTTGGCCACTCCGGCTGTCTATCACTCCCCCTTTTCTCCTGCCTCCTTCGCCTCCCTCCGCCTCGTCCTCCTCCCTCCTCGTCTGTATTTCTTCTCTTTCCGTCCCTCTCGTTCCGCCTCGCCCCTCACCGTCCTACTCCCCGCCCCCCGCGGAAGAGGAGGTAAGGAAGGGGCGGAGGTGGGGGGAGTGGAGCAGAAGGACGCCAATGTGGTCGGATGAGAAGGGGGAGCACAAGAGGTCCGCGTCACACAGAGTGGGGCGATGACGACGACATGACAAGAGAACAGGGCAGAGGAGGCAGCTCCGCGGGCATTGCTGCCCTAGGGACAGCAGCGACCATCCCCGGGCAGAAGCGTGCATCCCAAACGTCAGTAGGATGTGTGCACAGAAGTATACAGGGGGGGGGGGGGGGGTGGGGGCGAGCGAGAGAGAAAGAGAGAGAGAGAGACAGAGAGAGATAGAGAGGAAAGGACTAACGAGATGGCGGGAGGATGAGAAGGAGGAACAGAAGAGATTACGATGAGGAAGGTGAAACGTATTCAATTGTTTTTGTTCGCCGCCTGCTGTCACAGTCCCCTTGGGAGTAGCAGTCGGCATTGGACACGCGGTAATCGACTCCCCAGCCTCTTCTACTCATGTTCGTCCTCTTATTCCTCATCCTTGTCGTCCCCAATTAATGCCCCCTGCGCAGAAACGATCGTCGGCGCGTCCAGGTCAACGACCTTCTCTTGAACCGCGACTTCAATCACCAGGCGCTTGGAGCGGACAAAGACTGCAGCAGTTACGCCGACACCAGTCATACCAGGTCCCGCCAGGAAGATTGCGTGCCCGGGGGGCTTGTGGCGGGCGTAGCTTGTGCTTTTCTCCAAGCAGAATTTGCAAGGAAGCTTGTTTCGCTGGGAGACAGCTTCAGGATATCCGTGGCATTTTCGCAACGGCACGTTCTGGAAACATCAGTATTTTGTCCGCCCTGCCAGCAGCAAAACTAATCCTCCACACTGGGGTGCGGGAGTGCAACATTTCCGTTCTTGCCCGGAAGGAGGAGGATGAGGAGGAGGTGAAATCTATAATTTCACACGCCGCCGTTAGCAATCCGTTCTTCTGGCTCTCGAGTGAAGTTGTTTGAGTGGAGTCCACACTCCATGCTTTCATTACTTGCCCAGCTGCGTATGCCAATATGCTTCTCGTGCGTCTGCTGCTGCTGCTGCTCCTGATTCTCACTATTCCCCGACATGAGAAGAGGGACAGTGCGAGTATGCGAGAGAGAGAGAGTGGATCGAAGAGGTGGACACTAAAAGTACGAAGCGTGCAGTCAGTAGCGTGTGCGGTCGAATGGCAGTCTTGGCATTGGGCAGTGGCTGTGCTCTCCGTGTGTCTCGGAAAGGTGCTGCCGTCACCGCGCGTGAAGTGCTGCCCGCTCTGAGCGCGACTCCCTCCGTGTTCTTCCGTGGCCGCGCTCGTCCCCTCCCGTTGGCACGGGTGTGCAGCCTGCTGTGCCGCGCTCTGGCTGCTGATCTCTGTGGCTAGTGCCCTCGTTTCGCCGCTGACGAACGTGTCCCAAGTTGCAGTCAGGATGCTGAGATAACGACAACTTTGGGCTCAGGAGGGTTTCTGGTGTGCAGGACTTTCCTTAGACTTGTGCAGGGGAACCGTTTTGCATGGCGCAGGCGCGCGGTGGCCAGACAAGCCACCTCGGTCCTTATTCAGCGCTCTTTGGGTGTCGACGACGACGACGACGTCGAAGACGACGAGGACGACGACGACGGCGGCGGCGACGACGATGACAACGACGGCGACGACGATGACAACGACGGCGACGGCGACGACGACGACGGCGACGACGACGACGACAACGACGACGACGACTGTGTGTCAAGAAGGTCCGGGGTCCTTGGGCGTCGAGCTCGAGGCAGCACGCACAGCATGACGGGGCCGCCGCCTCGTGGTAGTGGGCGCGAAGCGCGCGGCATGGCAAGATGCGTGCACGGAGGGGCGGCCAGCGGAGACGAGCAGACACTTCGCCTAAGTTCGAGACTCAAAACACACGAGATCCCAGCGGAGACGCGCAGACACTTCTCCGAAGTTCGAGACTCACAACACACGAACATACTAACATACTGACATACTGTCCTTGAGGTCGGCGCGGGTTCCTTGCATCGGCGCTGGGCCTCCCTGGCGGCGGGGCCTTCCGGCGCCCCTCCTGGCGCGGTCCGCGCGCCAGTGAGGGGCCCCCAGCGCCAACCAGACAAACCCGCGCGGGCGTCCGAGAAATCCTGGCTATGCCGAGTGTTCTTCCTGCGTGAAGGTGCGGCGGTCAATGGGTAGTGCATCGTGGGCAGGAGGGGGAGGAGGAGGAGGAGGAGGAGGAGGAGGAGGAGGAGGAGGAGGAGGAGGAGGAGGAGAAGGAGGAGGTGAGTGGCGGGGCAATGGACGAATTTGATTGGCCAGGGGCTTGGCAGCCGCGCGCGAACCACAGGGCTGCGGGTCCCCCCTCCCCTGCGCACCTGTGCTGGTTCCTCGCCCTCTCTCCGCAGCGACGCGCGCAGGCCTCGCTCCGCCTCGCCTCACCGCGCCTCATACTTTATTTCCTCCTGCTTCTCCTTCTCCTCCTCCTCCTTCCCTCCTCCCCCCATCCTCCCCCTTATTTCCTCCTCCTGCTTTTCCTTCTCCTCTGCGCTTGCGCTGCCGCCGCCCATCGCGGCACACCCGCTCGCGGGGATCGTGCCCCAGAAGGAGCTCGACCTGCGGCACCTGTGAGGATGTCCGCATGGCGCCACCCCGCCCGCTTCTGCAGCCCCCCCTCGCGCGCTGTGCGCCCCCCATGGGGAGATCCGGTTTCGACACAAGTGATGGGCCCACATAAGGTTACCCCGCCTCTTCCGGTACACCCCTCCCGCGGATCGTCCCCAGAAGGAGTTCCATACCCGGCGCCAGTGTGCGCACCCCCAAAGTGACGCCCCGCCCATGTCGGCACACGCGGAGCGTGATTCGTAGTGAGCGCCAGCGAGGGCGCCCGCGTAGCGCCACCGCCCCCAATTCGGCGAGGTTCTTGCAGGCGTCGTTGGGGAGTTTTGAGGGCCCCGCGGGGACCTCTTGTGGGCCTCTTGGGATCTGATTTGGGTCTCTCTTGGGCCTCCTGAAGCTTCTCGGGGGATCTCTATTGGGCCCCTCTTGGGGCCCTCCTGGGCCTCTCTTCGAGCCCTCTTGAGCCGTCTTGGGGATCTCTTGGACAGTCTAGGGGCGTCGGAAGCCCGAAGGGACGAGAACGCGAAAACCTTGCAACAACAGATGGAACATCGGACATGTGTGCATCTGGGAGCATATGGTACCAAGGGTGCCCACTGGTGGCCACCAGCCGAAAGCCCGGCCTCCTCCTCCAGTTCCCGATTAACCAAGAAAGACGCGATTGAAATCATTATTACTTGATGAACTTCGAACTTTTTGGGAAGCATGTTACGTGAAAGGGAGGTGTCTGCGGGGGAGCATCAGCGCGTTTTGTTGGCGTTTGGCTCAGGCACGCGCGCGCAATATCACTACATGCACGCTTGCTGGTACTAGATTAGGAGAAAAGGGTCTCCATCCTTCTCGTCACCACGTCACACCCCGTACCATCTATGCTCATCTATGTGGCAGCGATGAACTATATGACGTTGCCACGTTGCTTCCGACTTGGTATCGGAGCTGGCTGGCCTCTCTTATGGTTGGCCCCCATATTTGGTTTCAACCTGCTACTCTATGGCACGATCCTTTCGGATCTGCTGAAGCTCCCAACTACGAGTCCACTCCCATTCGCAGTCCGCGATTCCGTGGATATGATGGAGTTTTAAAACAAGCCGACACACAACAGAGCCGACCTGAAAAGTTTTACATATTTCATCGGTAAAACATTGCAAACCGATGGTTCCACGTATTTCCAGTGGCCAGCTGCTCCGAACCATTCAGGCGTGCTTGCCCTGCGCAAGAAGAGTTCGACAATCCATTCATGCATACGGTTGCTATGACGCCGCGCGGAAACGTGCTGGGTCGTCAGCCACGTCGACTGGCCAACTCTACTGACACGGACGCCTTGCGGAAATACTGAGTTCGGCAGGATTGGCTGTCAGCATTCGATCCGCTACCGACTGCCAGCACAGAGGTGGAGGAAGCAACAGCGATGCCATTTTCCCGTATTTGGACCCAGCCGAGAGCTCCCCTTTTTTGCAGTACGTCTTGGATTTAAACGCCTGGCTTGTCCTCACAAGTTCGCGGATGACCCCACAGCATCACTCAACCGCCCTCATGCGACGGCTTGGTGGTCTTGCGCGCGAGATTGCCATGCGCATTCCTCCAGACATCAGCAACGGTGGTGTCAACATACGTGCCGCTCACGCCGACCCGAATCCTATGTGATTTGCATGCTGAGCATGAAGATCGAACGTGGTAAGGATGAGCGATTGCTCACTTCAGCTGCCCAGCTGATCGACTTCCCCGCGTCCAACAGTGCACGGATTGGCGCAACCGGCTAGGGCCGATATGGCGCGATTCAAATTCAACCGGCGGGATTCGGCATACCGAATTTCCAACTCCTCTCCGCTGTCATTTCCCCTGCCCTGGGAGTCGACGCGCAGAGGGCAACGCAGTTACTGCAGCCCCTCAACCACCAGACGTCGCGCATCCGAGCGGAATACGAAGCACCAATCGAGCGAATGCGGTCAGTGGGCCACATCGCCAAGCGCTCCCCAGGACATATCGGTTCTATATTTGGCCGTGGCAGCCGTTGAAGCGGCCCCACATGCCATGCTTACCGCGCTGACGAGTCAGAGCCTGGAAACGGGCAGGGGAACATAATCAGCGTTTGGACAGGCGACGCTTGTGAGGCCCCTGTCTTACAGTCGCGGCCCCAGGTTCTCAAGATCACTCGCAACAGTAACAGCGACCCGTCAACGTGGCGCTCAGGCCGTCAACGCGGCGCTCAGGCCGCGCGGCCGCGGCCTGGACGCACGCGTCCACCCGGTGGGGCGAAGCAAACCCAATGGCATCTGCCTGCCCAGCGGACGACGACTATGATTCGGGTGCCGACTCCCACGCCACCTCCTCCAACCGTAATGAATCGTAAGATTGCGCAGTCGTTCAGCATATCGAAAGCGACTGGCACGCGGCAGAACATCCTCTGTCTTTTAGATCGGCGCGACGGGCGCGGCGGAAACTCAGGGGGGTGGTCGGCGGGGGGGGGCGAGGGTAAAGGCGGGCGTAGACGCCTGAACTGCAGGGCCACTGCAGCATTTGCGCTCACGTTCTCTACCGGTCAGTGCGACGCGACATCTTCCCGCCGAGAAGGCAAACACCGCGGTCGTAAAAGACGAAGGATGGCAGGAACGGCAAACCCCGGGGCCGCGATGGCAAAGTCCTCTGATGCCGCAATTGCGGCAGCGAAAATCACACCACCTCGGGCAAGATTGCCCCGCGCCGACAGGCAGCGGCGCGGGCCAGGGGGCGCGCGCCGACGCCCGCCCTGGCCCATGGGGGGCGCGCGTCGAGCATCCCTCGCCTCGACTCGAGGACTTCGAGGGCACGGGGCCCCTCCTCTTCGCCGCCAGAGGCGGCGCGGGCGACGCCGAGGAGCTGCGGGCGCTCGCGCGCGGTGGTCTTGCCGAGCTCTTGCGGCAGCTGGGCGCCCGCAGCGTCGAGGTCGCGCTCGAGGACTGGCTCTGCGAGAGTGGCGAGAACCGCGTGGCGGAGGCGGACGCGCCACCGGAAGGCGCACGTTCGGTATCGAGAATCGGTTTCGGCGTCGGCGTCATTGGTTTCAGTGTCGCGACGATTGGTTCCAGTATGTTTGGGAATGCCCCGCGAGACTGTTGCGCGACCCCCGCGTCGTCTCCGCGAGCAGAGGAAAAAGGAGAAGGAGGAAACGAGAAAAAGAAAGAGGCCGAGGAAAAAGACTGAGAAGAAAGGGGGTGGAAATAGGCACGGGGAGGGCACGGGGAGAGGAACACATTGCCAGGGGAGCAAGGAGGAGTGGAAGGGAAAAGAACGGAAGGGGCGTTATGGCAAGCCCAGTTGCAGGGCTCATCATCACGAATGTCACCGCTTGTTGTTTGCGTATTCTTGTAACACGAATGAATCGCTTTGGCGCGCATCACAAGATATTCTACAACATGCAGACGTGCTCCAATAGTTGCAATATCTCGAAGAATGCATCCTCACATGCTCAGAAACAAGAACATTTATTTATAACCTCCCTGAAACAAAACATGTTTGGCCAAGCTCGGCACTATTGCGACGGCGCCGTCAATTGGGCCTCCAGGGGCCTGCCCACGCCCGCGCGAGAATGCAAACAAATAAATTCGCTTTTTGGTGACGGACGGCATGCTTAGGATGACAATGGAAGGCGCTTGCCGTTTTTGTTTATCGCGAAGACGCTTCAAGATTTCGGTTTTGGGCTTGGCCTGAATACGTATGATGGTGCGGACTACGACGAACCAAGTTTCGTGCATTCGAATCGCTTTCCTAACGAGGTCTTTCCCAATGTCGAAAGATGAATATTGGTTCTCCCTTGGGATGCGCAATGGAGAAAGGGGTGCTGATATCGATGAAAAACACATTATGCACGTCTCCCGACTGGCCAGATTACCGAAAGCCATTAGGAGTTATAGTTGCGGGATCGACAGAACATGCATTGTGGCTACAGCACCACCTCGAGCAAGCGAATCACTTCTCTGACGCCCCCCCGAAAACCATCGACGGATCACAGGCCGCGCGCGGGGGCGGGCGCGCGCGCGCACGGAAACGCCCGCTCAGCGGGCGCGGCGGCCAGAACGGCTAGAGCCAAAGTTCCGGAGAGGAGAACAAACGATGTGATTGTTCAGCCTGGACGGTTCCTGTCGCCACGTCCGCATTTGCCCTGCAATTCTCGACGGGCGGTCCTCGGTCGCGGGATCAGCGGCGGCGATATCTTTTCGCGGCGGCGGATGCGCAAAACATGCCGTTGAACCAGCGCCCATCGTCATTGCAAACGCCGGCGACGAAGGTGCGAGACGAGGATCTGCAAGTCGCCAGTGGTGGGGGTCGATGTCTCGGTGCCCTCGCGGTCCATGGGCGCGGATGGTCAGGTGTTTTTTTGGCAACCCCGCCCAACCTCATTCTACGACGCGGGCGAGGGCGGCGGCGAAGCGGCGAAGACGACGGCGGCGGGGGGGCGACGGGGGCAGCCGCGCCGGGCGGGGCCGCCGCCAGGGGCCCTGCCTGATGGTGGCCGGTACCCGCCCGGGCGGGGCCGCCGCCCTGGCCGGCCTGCAGTTCGGCTCGACGCTGGTGCAGCAGACGGGCCCCCAGGACGCCGGCGCGGCCACCGCGCGCAGAAGGGGGGCGGGGGGCAGGGGGAGGAGGAGGAGGAGGAGGAGGAGGAGGAGGAGGAGGGGGAGGAGGAGGAGGAGGAGGAGGAGGGAGGAGGGGAGGGAGGAGGAGGAGGAGGAGGGAGGAGGAGGAGGAGGAGGAGGAGGAGGAGGAGGAGGAGGAGGAGGAGGAGGAGGAGGAGGAGGAGGGAGGAGGAGAGGAGGAGGAGGAGGAGGAGGAGGAGGCGGAGGAGGAGGAGGAGGAGGAGGAGGCGGCCACGCGCAGAGGGGGGAGGGGGGAGGGCTTCTCAGAAGCGCCCCTGGTTCTCAGAAGGCGCGGGCCTGCTCAACAGAGATGCAAGGCCGGCGCTTGCTAAGGAGCAGCCTCCTTCTAAGGAGGCCTCCCTCCTCCCTCCACCCCCTCGTGCACGCCGCCAGCCAGCGTGGGACTCGTCGAGGAGGAAACAGCACATCAGAAGGATACCTCCTCCGAGCTCCGTGCGGAGTTCTGGGATCGGCGGCGGTGGGCCCCGCTCGGCGGCGCCTCAGAAACCGCGTCTCGCGCGTTCCACGCGCCAGAGATGGAGGGCCCCAGCGCAGATGCAGGAAGTCCGCATGGAGCTCCGACAGTTTGTGTGCATGCTTTTCTTGGCCCGGTATGTAGAAGGGAGAGATGCCGATTGCCAGCCAGAAGCGTAGGTCTATCCTCAGGAAAGGCACTGCCATGTCTCGATGCCGACCTCAAGGGCTCCATCGGGTTTGGGAGGGCGCATCCCTTAGACTGTCATCGCCTCTGGGCTTGTCAATCTCAGGGATAGGCAGAAGCTCGAGGCTGGTTGATTAGCCGATACCGCTGCCTCTTCGTCGAAGGCCCTCGTCGTTACGGCTGGATCCGCCGCGGCATGCTGGTCAGGACGCGCCAGTCCTGGGAGCAGCGGAGGCCGTATGTGTCCGTTTCTCCCGGAGGAAGGAACCTGGGCAGGCGGGCGTACTATTCTCCTGCGTCCACTTCTTGGGCGCAGGAGCACCGAGGGTGCCGAGGACGTCAGGCAGACCCGGGGCTCGGGCAACTCCGTCCAACGAGGGGGGGGGGGGCTTGACTTCATCTTCCCCTCGTTGGACCCTCGCTGCAGAACGCTCAGGAGCGACAGCAACGCCCCAGAAGCCCTTTGGATTTGCAGGCTTTTCAGAAATCCCCGAGCTATTCGTCCACTCATTGTGTCCCCGATTGATTCGTATCCAGCACTCATCTACGGAGCTGGAGGAAGAGGAGGAGGATGGGAAGCACGGTCTCGGCGGTCTTGGGAGATTCTGGGGGGGCCTGGGGTGTTCTGAGTGTGATCCAGGGGCCTCAGGGGGTTCCAAAGAGTTCGAGGTGGAAGAGGGCAATGAGTTGGAGGAGAAGGAGGATGAGGGAGAACCTTGAGAGGAAGCGGAGGAGGAGGAGGAGGAGGAAACAGATAAGCGATTGCCGTATTTTCGAGCGGTTCTTAGATCCGAGGCGGGGGGCGTCTTCGTGGTCGAGGCTCGCCGCGGCCAGACGAGCCCCTTCGTGCCCGATTCGCCGCTCCTTCTGGCAGCATGACGACTGCATCCAGCTCAGCCTCCTTGTCCTCCTCCCCCCTCCTCCCCCTCCCTTCGCTTCTGCTCGTTGCTTCCCTCCCTTTCCTTTCCTCCTGCTCCCTGGCTGCTGTCTCCGCCTGGCCCGTCTTCTGCCTGCCCGCCCGCCCCGCCGGCCCTGGCCTCCCGCCTGGGCGTTCGTCGTCGTCTGCCTGCTTCTCCCCTCCTCGTCCCCTTCCGCTGGACAGCACAGCCTGCCCGGCACCAGCGTGGCGGCATATGGGGGCCTGACAAGCTGGTCTTGGTGGCTTCCGATTTGCTTGCTCTAAGCTTATGATGTTCCAACCTACTTTCGCCTTGGCCACCAGAAAGAATTTCGAGCAACAAGAAAATACCGAAACTGGAGGGTCTTCACGTGTCGGCCCTGGGCGGCGATACTCGTTCGACACTGTTTCGATACTTTGCTGGGTGCTCGAAATTATTTATCGGATGGGGTCCTCAAGTACGATGGGAACAACATAATTCCGAATGACGAACACAACTACGAATGTGCACTGTATGAACTTGATGCGCGTGAAAAAAAAACAACTGCCATGCACAACGGCCTGAAATCAGCGCGCACCGGCAGCAGCCTGCTTCCGACGCGCAGAATCACAAGAGCGTCCATCTACCCCCGGATGCCTCCCCAATGGCGGCTGCATCGCCGAGGTCATCCCTTGTTACATTCGCAGCTGCCGTGTCGGCATAACCAAAACATATCTCATACTATGTGTACGTCGGCCCCGCAGGGGCTGCGCGCGCTCAGGAATCGTATAGTATGAGTTGCGCGGCGGGCATTCTCTGGCCAGGCCGCCTGGATAGCGGTGCGAAACAATAGCTGTGTGCTGCATGCTCAGGCGAGACGCGGGTCTCCAACACAAGCACGTTGTGACAGTGCGTAACAGATAGAACTTGGCACACGCCATCGCACCTGCTAGCGCGTGCGTTATCTCCACAGGTCAGGGCTAGCCGACTTTCACAGAGTGCTATGCTGAGGGGTCACTGAGATCCTCGTGGTGCCTCTTCGATGGAGGACTTCATCGAACCTACAAGTAACAACTGTCCCGCGTACGATTTCAACGGGGCCAGCTACAGCGACTCGTGCACACATCTTGTCTCGCGCGTGCCTCTCTGGGCCAAGCCCGTCTGGAGCCGCGCGGAGCGCCTCCCAACGGGCCGTCTGGATGTCGGACCCCCCCCGCGCTGTTGGCCTGCATGGCGCCTCCCACGAGACGACCCAGTACCATGCATCGGGGCCCCGAGCCGAGAGGCCCGAGAAGGCCACTGAGGAGCCGAGCGACGTGCTGGGCAACGGCATGGCGAAGCTGGTAGTGGGCCTCGAGCACGGGACGCGACGCCGGGCAGCGTGGCCGGCCGCACGTTCTGTTCGTGGGCGAGGGCAGCGCGACGAAGCCTCTCCAGGTCCACGGAGAGACAAGGCGAGCAGCTCGACTGGGAAGGCCAGGGTCCACCCTGCGTCGCCCAGGTGTTCGTGTGCATCGCGCAGGTGGCCATCGACAGGGCCTCGGCGAGGGGAGACCCACCCAGCGAGCGGGGGCCACCCGAGCGCTCCACGAGTTGTGGGCAGCAGTGGTCGACGGGCAGCATCCTCTCAGCAGCTGGCCCTGTTCGTGCTGCAGCGCAGGTGCAGGAGAGGTCGGCCAGAGGACGAAGCCAAGGGAGTGCTTGGCATCGCCCTCAGCACCCAGGGTGTGGACGTCGCCAGGGCATTGGGGCCGATTTCTTCTGGAAAGCCTGACATCGGTGGAGAAGGCGGCGTTCGATCCAGGACCTGCACCCAGGGGCTCCCGACGGAGAGGTGGATCAGTTCGCAGGTCAAGTAGGTGATGCGGAGAAGGCGAAGGTTCACGGTCGGGCTTTTCCTTCACAGTGCCGAGCGTTCACACTCGGGGTTTTCTCTTCCCGTCATGGTGTGAGCCATCTATCTAACCGTGCTGCCCAGAGAAGTGCCACTCAAGTATGTTCTAGTTTAGGGCAGGACAGTGAGCCAGGTGCAGTTGTGACTCGTGCAGCTCTGCCCCATCGAATTCTGAAGTTTTGCAGTTGGCTGACTCTGATCATCTCATGGGTTTGATTGCAAGAGGCGTTGTTCCCAGTGGTGCGTTGCAACAGGGTCGGTCGATTACGACACGTGCCTCCCGCGAGCTCACCGCCATCCCGACGGCGATTGCTCCTAGCGCTGTGCCAACGCACGGCAAGGGGGGAGTAGGGGTAGGGGTCGTGGCCGTCATCGTGAGGGCCGCGAGGGCGGTGGGGAAGGGGGAGCTGCGTCAAATTCGCACTTCGGACGAGATCCTACTCCTCATGCTCCTTCGACCCCCCCCTCCCTTGGGCAGGGACCCGGGAGGGCTCCAGCTTGCCCCACCAGACTTGCCCGAAAAGGCGCGGAGCAGTCTCTGGTCCCCGACGCAGGGCACCCTCCTGGCTGCGCGCCGTCCTGGGGGGGCGCCCTGTAGGGGGCCGCGCCGGCAGGGCCCGACTGGCCACCTGCTTCTGAGAGCGAGGTCAGCAGCTGCAGCAGCGCGCAAAGTTTTTGGCGATCGATTGCCGACTCGATCAGGATGAGAACCACTCTGATGTCTTGTCATGTCTTTCTCCTCCTCCTCCTCTTTCTCCTCCCCCTCGTCTCCTGCTCCTCCTCCTTCCTCCTCCTTCCTCCTCCTCCCCCCTCCATCCCCCCTCCATCCCCCCTCCTCCTCCTCCTCCTCCTGCTGCTGCTGCTGCCGCTCCTCCTCCCCCCCTTCTCCTCGGGCACCAGCTGCTGCTCGTCGGTCTCCTCCAGGTGGGCCGAGCATACGGCGTTGCACACCGATCGACGCCGCGCACGCTGCGGTATCCCACGGCGCAGTGATCTCCGCCAGGCACACCCTGCGTCGCGCGTCCCATTCCGCTCCGCTCGCGGCTCGCGGCCGTGGCGAGTCCGAGACTGTCCGTTCAGGCCTGGTCATTGCCATCCCTGCTCTGGTCCACGGCCACGCTTCGGACGGAGCCAGATCGATGATGAATCCGTTCCAGAGCGTTCCAGAACGCTGTCGGGGCGTTCCAGATCGCTCGGAGAAGGCCGCGCCGCCCGAGACATCCTCCAGCTCCGCCGGATCTCGGAGGTTTTCGATGTAGCTCCACCCGATGTTGTCCTCGTGCTGGCCGCGTCTCGACGACGCCCTCTTGCCCACTGCCGTCGCGCCCTGGGCTCGCCTCGTCACCGTCCTGGTCCACGGCGCCGCTCGTGTGTTCCTCGAGAACAAGAGAGCCCCCAACCCCTGATGACAAGATGAAGAAGTGGCCTCGCTGGGTCACTGGGGCCCCCCTCTTTGCACTGGGGATGCACCCTGCTTGCCTCCAGGGTGCCCCTGGGTTTCTTGGGCTCCGAAGGTTTTGCGATGGAGAGCGCGATGTTCCCGCACCGGAAATCAGTGGACGTCCTGGGATCTCAGGGTTGGGTTTCTTGTGGAAGGCTTCTTGTGGCCCGGCCCCCACTGTAGATCTGAGAGGGCACCGAAAGCGCTCCTCCGTCCGCGGCGCCGCCGTCGGCCCGGGAGGGGCGCAGGTCTCGCGCTGGCGGGCGCTGCCGCGCAGGCAGGCCGTGTGGTGCGGCGGGGCGCAGGGCTCGGCGACGCCGAGGAGCTCGGCCTCGCCCGGACGTGCGCACGTCTGCCCGGCCCGGGTCGTCGACGAGCACGGTGGGCCATCCTGCGCAGACATGCGCACACGAAGCCGAAACATGCACGGGGAGGGGACGCCCGAGCGATGGCAAGGGAGGCTCTTCGGGCGTCTTCGGCGGCCATCGCCGGCCTTCCAGCTTCGGGATGATGCCGCGCCTCGTCGAGAGCTTTCCGGGGGTGCGCGGAGCGCTCGGACGTTTCCGGACGTCTTCGTCGGTTCCCGGCGGTCTTTCATATTCGGGGTGCTCTCCAGAAGCCGCGCCTCGTCGAGAGCTTTCCGGGGGTGCCCGAGTCGTCCTGGACACCTGTCGGAGGCACGGCTGTGACCCGAGGCCTCCAAGCGTCGAAGAGGGAGGCGAGGACCCGGTGTGTGTGCGTGTGTGCGGATGATCTCGTGGCCAGGGCCGCGAGATCTCCCAGACATCATGGCCCCCCCCTCTCCTCCCTTCCGTACTTCCCCAGCCCCCCCCCCTCCCCGCCCGCGCGCACGCCCCGGACGACCACGGTGCGCCAACGCCCCCTCTTCCTCCTTGCCCCCCTCGTCGGCGTGCGCTGTGGCGAGTGGTGTACCCCAATGGGATCGCCGCGCCGCGCGGGGCCGCCGCAGCGCGCCCCGCG